TTTTTTTTTTTTTTTGACTTGCTGCCTTTGGGTTTCCCGAATCATTTGGGTGTTTCTCAAACTAGTGGCCTCCACCCCAAGCTGGTTCCTCTTGGTGTCTCTCCAAATTCTTAAATCAGCAGAAAATCCGCCCCTCGGTTGTCGAACACTGGCCGCCGATGGGCAAACTGCGGTCTGAACGCCTTGGTGTTTCTCTGCCTGTTGGCTTCCTAGGTCCCCCAGCTAGGTGCCCTTCTTAACCCCTTTTTTGGTTGGGAGGGTTCCCCAACTAAAATAGACTACACCAAACAGTTGGTATCCTTATTCCAACCTCTCAAATCTGGAGGACCTTTGGCATTTCCTGGAAAAGGAATGCGGCTCCGGACTCCCGACCAGCACGGCGTGGCTTTTGTCCACCGAAACCCAGCTGTTGGCCTCAAAAAGGGTCGCGTCGCGTCGCCCAAGCTGAAAGAAAGCCGTCCGCCAGGACCGGCGAGGCCGAGGCGGAAGGGGGCAGCGGAACCGTTGCGAGTCTTTGACTCACAGGGTTGGGAACTGGAAAGGCCGAGGCTCACTTTGGTTCAAAAGCTTGCCAAGGCACACCCCTCTCACGCGGTTACCCCAAAGGTTAGATGTCACTCGGGCTTGGCCCAACCCTGGCGAAGAACTCACTGTCAGAAAGCAGGACGCTGAAATCCGCGGGACGATCCTCCAATACCGACCCCGATGCTCGCTGTTTTGGAAGACCCGAAATGTCCCCAGCTGTTTTTTGCTCCTTGCTTTCTTGCTTTCTTGTTTGCCTGATGGACCACATTACACCATCTCCGGTACGGAATGCCGTGCCCGGCCGCAGCTGTCGACACCGGCAGCCTTTGGCAGTCTATTCGTCGAAAACGCGTGCGGCCGGGGGCCGGAGCTCAAAGGAGGGCGGGTCGTGGTGAGTTGGTGTTGGGGAGTTAACTGTGAGTGCTGAAAATTGCAGAGCTATAGGGATACAGGCAGGTTTTTCAGCAAGTTTGGTTCCATTTCCCAATTGGGCCGCTTTTGGCATTCATCTTTTTGAGCCAAATGGCATGTTGAAGAACAAGACCCTGGGCCCCTGCGGAGGGCAAAAAAGGAGAGATGGCTTTCTGCATGAGATTTGCTCCATAGGTTTGGTAGAAAAATAGAGGGCGATTCCTGGTTAACCTGGTGGTGTAATCATGTACCAGGGAAACCCATCGATTTTTCCTATGTTTGCCCTGCTTTTTGCGAGCCTCCGGCTGGTGAGCTGCTCCGTCCGGAGAAGAAGAAGCGAAAGGCAAGAGGCGTGGCGAAGCCGCTGGGACCGAGACCGTTTGAGCTCGGGGGGTCCGAAAGTTTGCGGCTTGCGCTTGAAGCTTGTTGGAGACCATTTCGGTGACAACCAACAAGGTGACCAGAAGGGTCACCTTGATGATTTTCCACCATAGTGTTTTTTTTGGCTTTGTGGCCATGTGGTTTGCCGGATCTTGAGGTATTGGACCCACCAAGAGTGAACAACTCCTTGCAGCAACCAAGGAAAGTTGGCCCCGCTTTGCCGAAGACTGGTTGGCTTTTGGTCTTCAAACTTGGAAGGCTCCCAGCTCAGATTTCGACAAGTGCAAACTGGTTTGGAGAGTCAATTTGCAGCAGAAGTCTTAGCCTGTTCTTGGAATGTTGCGGGTTTGCTTCTCGAAGTCATTGCCCCACCCTTTGTCCGCATTGGTTTTTCAAACGAAGGGCAACTTCGGGGCTCGGTGGTGCCAAGCGGGTCGGCAATTCTTTGATCCCCGGAAAGGCTGCGAGACGTGAATTCTCCATCAGGCCGTAGGCCTTGAAACGAGAGGTTGGAGAGAGGGTTGATGGAATCCCAGTGAAGGCTCTCCAAACCAACGGTCTTTAAAGCCCCCTGGGCCCATTGTCGGGGATTTCGGGGCAGTTTGGATTTCCGCTACTCAGATGGGATGAATTGGCTTAGGTTAAGTCCAACAGGACAGTCCACCCGTGGGTTTGGTGGAAAGCCACGGCTAGCAAGTTGTCGCCGTCAAACTTTGGGCCAAATATCATCCCGCGGCAAGCTACGAGCAGGATTTCCGGTTCGGCCAGGAACCCGAGAAAGAACGGCGTTCCGGCTGTGTTGAACCTCGGGTTGAGTCGTGTGGTTGGGTTCGATATCAAAATGTTCACCACAAGAATCTCTTTTCGGTGAAAGCTGGTTGTCTAGGTCCCCCAGTAGTGCCCTTTTTTCCTTTTTTGGGGGAGGGTTCCCCTACTAGAATAGACTACAGAAAAAGTTGGTACCCTTATTCTAACCTCTTTACTGGTGGACCTAGTTGTCAAACATGATGTGACATCGAATGCACCATGCCTTGTCAGTTTGGCCGTGAACCCTCGCCATTCGGAGCGACCAAAACCTTAGTTTGCCAGAGCAGGCCTCCCGCCAGCCTGGCTTCCATTTTCAGACCTCCAGTGGTGCCCTCGCTCAACTGCCACTGGGGCCTGGGCTTTTAATGAGTCCGACGCGTCAGACGGCCCCCGAGCTGACGCTTGGAAGACATCGCACCCAAGCTGTCCCATAGCGTTTGCATCAGTTTGCCCATCAGCCAACTTCGCTAAACAAAATCGAGTGGTCGACAAGACTCCTTACCTCACACGAGACCCCCTCTGTCTAGCCAACTCACGTAACTGGGAAGGTGACTCTTGTTTTGGGTTAGTTAAGTTGCAAAGGGAGGCCAAAACAAAACGAGCCATTTTGAGAGCCAAGCCTATGCGGAGTTGTCGGGAAAGTCCCCGGATTTTGCGAAACCATGCCAGAGGGGTGGGTGGGTAAAATTCGGTCTTATTAGCCTTAAAGCCTTATTTGGGGCCCATTTGTGTGTATAGATTTTTGTAGGTTGATCATCCAATGGCGTGCGAAGGTTCCGATGGGAAGCCAATCCCGGTGCGCGATGGTGCTAGTGTCTAGAGGCGGTAAGTTATCCGCTAAGCAGCGCAAGCATGCGGAAACTCTGCGAATGCTGGTCCGTCTTCTTTTTCCCCCAAAGCGGGAAGCTTTGGGGCCTCTGCCCACATAAGCCTTGGGGTGGTCTAGGGCAGCTGTCAGGGAGGGTTCCGGTGCTGTTGGGGATGTGGGCTTACTTGTGCTTTGAAGAAGCATCATGAATGGCCAGATCCAGTTTTTCCAGCTCAAGCGCCTTGTGCAACTCCAGTGCTCTGTTTATGAGCGGCCTGGAGCTGAAGGAGTATCGCTGGGGAGATCCTGTTTTCTTCGACCCTCCCGCCTGACCTGGCGCGCCTGGCCCATGGCGCAATGAGCGCCCAAAGCCCCTACTTTTTCCCTTTGGGAATCCCGATCGAAATCTTCATAGCCAGAAGCCTTCTTTTTTTTGTTTTTGTTGGTAGAAAAATAGATGGCTCTGGTTTACTTGGTGGTTTAATCATCTTCCAGGGAAACCCATCTATTTCCCCTAAAAGGACGCCATGTGGGCAGAACCGAACGTCAAGGGTCGGAAAACAGGGCTCCCTTGTCGCCTCCAGTTTCCCTTGCCGCGGCAAGGACGTGCCCCTTTTTCTGGCCTTTTCCCGGCCGCCAGATTCGGCACGCCAAAGCGCTTGGCCAAGAAACATCCTGCAGTTTCGACGCCTGCGGGCCCCTTTGGTTCATTCATCAATGTTCTGACCTGGGTACCAATTACCCTTGTAGCAGGGAACCAGAATTTGTCCTTTTGGTTTTTGAAGGGTTGTCCCCTTGGTTAACTGTACAGGGAACTAGCACTGGGCTCATTGAATTGAATTCGACTCAGAGGGATCTGCACATGCTTCTATATGATACTTTGATTTCGCGGGATGCTGTTTTCGCCACGATTGAACGAGTAATTTTGAGATGGTCAGCAAAATCTTCTAGTGGTTGCTTCCCCATTCAACCATAACGCTTCCAAAACCGGCCATTTCTCCTGGGTCATTTGAACAGAATGGGGAATCAAGCCCTAGATAGATGTCCTGGGACCTGAAAATGGGGGAAGTTACCCAGAGATCCTGTGGGGGCCACGTGCAGGCGCCCGTCGCGAGTTTGCTCGGCGCCACAGGCGTCGCAGCGTCGCGTTGCGCGATGCTCTCGCTGTCCATGTCTGCACGCCCACGCCCGAAACCCGTTCTGGATGGCAAAAGGGCGAGCTTGCGTGCGTGCTCTCTTGCTTTCTTGCTTGCGTGCTTGCTTGCTCGCTCGCTTGCTTGCTTGCTTGCTTGCTTGCTTGCTTGTTTGTGAGGTGTTTCCAACGGTAAGCAAGAATGAAGGCCACCCATTTTCGGGCTTCCTTATTTTGAGACATGCCCATTTATGAACCGCCAATAGAAACCCTATGAACCTCGTTTGGCTGGCTTAAGCTTTCAACGGTTGAAAGCTACAGATCCCCACCAAAAGGGGACACCCCCCTATTAATCAACCAGAGGTTTATTAATCCGGGGTCAACATAACCACCTGGCGATTTTTGTTCTGCTCGACCACAGAAAATCAGCCACTCTTAGGTTCAGGCAAGGATGTTTGTATTCGTGGTTCCGGAGCTGTCTGAGTTTGAGCCCCCACAGCTTTCAAGTCAACAAACCTGGTGCCCGGAGGGGCTCGGACCTTCAAACTGCCTCGGAACCTTGATGTCTCGTTCGCCCGCAACATCCTTGCAACTTTGTGGAGGGACGGTTCCCCGACTGAGCAGCTCTAAACCCCCCCCCTTTGCATGCCAAGCAAGAGTTGTGTCATGGGAAGGCTCCGCCGAAGTCAGGCAAAAGCCGGCGGAAGCGCCTTTGTTGGACACATTCGCGTAAGCGCCCGTGCAAGCTCTGCCCCGTGACAGTTTGCAAAAGTTGTTAAATGTCAGGGGCTTGCCCGTTGGGTTTCGAAAACACAAGGGGTTACCGCCCAGCAGGTTCAGCAAAACTAAGGGGTCCAGGCACGGCTGCCCACTCGCCCACGCCATGATGCCGCAAAAGCCGTTCCTTGACCTGCAGTGAGGCAACACAAACTCAGGAGGCAAAGTAGTTGGCCAATTCCACAGCGCTGATCAATCTAATTCCCAGACCCCGAAAAGAACAACATCACCAAATTGATGTGTGTGCATGCGTGTGTGTGTGTGTGAGAGGGAAGGAGAGAGCAATGCTTTACCAACTTCCTACTCAGAGTCATCCCTTTTGATTCGCTTGTACACTGCGGCTGCAGCCGCATAGAGGCCGCGTAAGCAGTTCTGGAGGGGAGTGCTCAAAACGCTGTCGCGCAGCCAGCGCGTAAGCTTGACATGCTCGCAGGTGTCACGTGAGCGTGAGCAAAGCGCTCACGCGCAAGCAACCTTCCACGACATAGGGATCCATGGGGTATTTATAGAGTTGCTTGTGGTATGTTTCAGGGGGGGCCAACCCCATGCTGCAGTTTGGGATTTCTGGTTTCTCCAAAAATGGCTTCAAGCACAGCCGCTGCTGCAAGAACTCACCCTCAGTTGCCAGTGCCGGCCTGCCCTGGGCATCGCCTCAACTCACTTGGGTTGCTTGGACCCGCTTGCGATCCTTTCTCGAAAAGAAGCAACGTTGGCACCCAAAATCGGTCCTTCAAAAGGGGCAGGACGGGCACTCTTTTTGTCCAACTTTGAATCGTTCATTTTTTGACTTTCCCGACCATCCTGTGACTCACTTTGGGTTTTCGAATTGAGAGGTCCCGTTGGGTTTCCTATGGGTGTGTAGAATTTGGGGTGCGGCCAGCCACTTGTTTCAGCATAGCCATTCACCACTATTGCTTCAGCCGCCTTTCCCTTAGAACAGGCAACCAAATGGAAGTAAGTGAACAAGGAACAGATATAAATCCAGGAGCAAATGCTAGATGGAGCTGATTCAAAGAAATGAGCGGTGCCAGACCACACCGGGCATGCCGTACATTTCAAGGTTTCGACGAGCTCAGGTTTAGAGCTGAAGGTACTTGGACGTCCCACCAACGTTATAAGTAGGATGTTCCAGCATGGTTATAACTTATAACTTGGGTAGCTGGGGTTGGTCCCCATGGTTATAATCCGCTTAGGTAATAGCCATTGTTATATCTTGGGCAATCAGACCCATGGTTGTAACCTACTTCCCTGACGCTGGAACCTCCGAGTCGAATGCCGCGCGACCCGCCGCAGCATCGCGGCCCCGAGAAGGGGTCGAGGGGGGGCCCCTCGGGCTCCCGGGCGGGCCAGCCGCGAAGCCGGGATCGCCAGGGGGTGGGGATGGGTGGCGCGGGGCCGCGGGGAGGTCCCTGCGCGGGGCAGGAGGGGAGGTCCCAAGGGGTCGCTGAAAGTGACAACCGTCGTGCAAAAACCTCACGCCATGCCTTGCCAAAACGGAGTCTACGACACAACAAGCAAGATCTTGTGGGGTTCTAAGGCACCAAAGGCTCAAAGAGAAAGAGGGCAGGCCGAGGTTCTGCCTTGCCGAAGCTGAAACTTGTTCAAACAACTGGCCGCCCGTTGCAGGGAACCAACAGGATCTGTTTGTGCGCATTAGGGAACCCAACAAGAATCGTTTGTCGCTTGCCCCTTTGCCCGCAGCAAACAGTTAAACATGTTTCAACAATAGCAGCTTAAACAAGAGGGTGTGTCTTGGCATAGAGACCCCCAAAATGATTAGATTCCGTTTGGCTTCCCTTTGAAACCAATCCAGAGGTATTCTCACAAAAAGACAGACCCATGATTGGGTGCGAGTGCTTTAAGTACCTGGGTCTTCGAAATGCACAGTCCTCAGACTTGTCCAGGCATGATGTATGGAGGGCGGGAGCTGCGTGTTGATTCTCTCTGGCGCTAGGGCCGATGTCTGCAGTGCCACGCCAGTTTCAGGGCAGGATACGTGGTGGTTCGTACGCATGGGGTAAGTGTCTTAAGTGGGTTCTCGATAGTCCTGGCCTGTGCCCCTCAGCTCCTGTAAGAAAAGAAAGATGCCTGGGAAAGGGTCGTTTAGGGCATGTTTAGACATTCCTTAAGACTACTTATGCAGATTGCGTGGCTGGGGGGCGCGGGACCTGGTTCCGGTTTTCACACGAAAGGTCAGCGTTGATCTCGCGGCTTTCGGCACTTCTGTTTTTCTCCGCTCAGCATCTGATATGAGCAAAGCAAATGCCCAGAGCCCCAAGAAGTGATCAAACCGGAGGACCTACTGTGGATGGACGAAATCCTGCACCACCTAGGAGCCACGTTCTCACCTATCCTTATCAGGCAACGATTTCCCTCCTGAAACCTTGAGCGATTTTCTGAGAAGGTTCGCCGGGGCTTGTGGAAGGTGCAGCCCCTATAGCAAAGCTACTTCTTCTGCCCGCAACTTTTGAGGGAACCTACCGTCACCACACTTGCTCGCGACTCCCCACGAACAAGCCCTTTCCAACCCAAGCCTGTTTGCTGACATCCATGTGGTTTTTGGGCCAAGGGCCTACAGGTTGGGCCGGGTTCGGGATTGACACGCGGGGAACCGACCCATGGGCTCCGGTGGGTGCTGGCTTTTTTTTGGGTTCTTTCCATTTTTTCGGAATAGCGGCGTTCACTTTGGATCAACGAATGGTTTCCTTCCGGGCCGGAGGGAGGGGCACACAGAAACCATTGTCCGGCTTGACAGCTTTAGAACACCTGCTTTCGAGCGGGTTCTGAGCATCACCATGTTTCACCGGCTGATTCAAAATGAGGTTCCGGTTCCTTTGAGTGGGGTGAAAAGGGAGTCGTTGAGTGTTGGATTTGATCTAATCTTGCAGGTTTAATTGATTAGCATGGCTCGGATTCATCCGAAGCCTTTTCAAAGCGCCTTTGTCGTGCTGGCGCTTTTTAATAAACTTAAGGGACTCGCATCTTGCCGCCACAGCAATTTGTAACTTGATTCCAGGCCATTCTGTACTGAGCGATGCTGAAAACTCAAAAACATAGACTACCTTCTGCCCCCAATCCACTTCCTCCCAGAGAAAATGGATCATTCCCGTAAACCAGATGTGACAAACGAGTGCCTCAGCCGTGGAAAATTCCATCCGAAGGATCAACGCCCCTTAGGAGGGCTTCCAGCTGGCTATTCTAGTGCCTTCAAACTCACGCTTGCATCTCAGGCCCGAAGTAGTTGAAGTATTCCATATTTGTGTCCACTGTTTCATCTGTGTGGAAAATCAATGTATGAGGGTGTCTCAAACCAGGTGACCCCCAACAATGGCTGTGTTGCTTGTGGTTTCCTTGTCAACCTGAAACGTGCTTCGAGCCTCGAGCAAGAAGCAAACCAACCATAAAAGATTAGCTTGGGTTCCCGTCTGACGAAAGCAGCCTGAGAAGTGCCTCCTCCACCAAAAGGCGAGCAACGAAGACCAGAAAAAGGGCTTCGCCTGGTTCGGGTTCCGTCCGAACTTCAAAGTCCGCATGGGGTCCCCAAAGTCTGACGCAAGCAACCTGGGGGTTTTTTGATTTGCCCAGGTGTCGCCTGCACCAGCCGCTCGTTTTGCAGGTGCGGTGCCCTCCCCATGGGCGAGCCAGGCGGGCGAGCTTTGGGCGGGCGAGCTCTGGGAGCTCGATCTCAGCCGATCGCAAGAGCGGTCTGGATCGGCAGCGTTGGTACCCACTGAGTTAGGTCCAGTGTGAGATTGTTTTTTGTTTTTTTCCCCCCCTGTTCTTTTCTTCTTCCCCCCCCCCCCCTCGATTTTTGGCTGGTTGGAGCCCACAGAAGCAGCAACCGATGGGTGTTTGGGGGTATCTTTGAAAGGAAAATCGTCTTCCAGGGCACGCTGGAGATTCCATGTTTGATGGGAGGCTACCCTTCCCCAAACCAGCAATTGATTCTCAGAAACTGAGGGAGTGCCTGGCACTGAGAACCAGCAAGACAACTTGACTTCTATTTGCTGAAAAATATTTATTTATTTATTTTTCCAGCCTGTTGCTTTTAAAGGGAATCGATGTCACTCCTGGACATATTTTCCATTTTTTCCAGAGGTCGAAAAACCAAATGGAAGTTGAGGCTGAGCTGTAACACAACAAGGCTTCAGCCCAGGCCTTGACAGGTTCCGAGCGGCTTTGCTCGCGGGATTTTGATAGGGAGCTTGGTCCAAACCGAAAGCCGAATCATCTCCTACCTGGGGAGGGGGGAGGCCTTTGAGTTTGAGTCGGGGCTTGCACATGTTTGTTGGCAATTTCTTGGATGTCCTTAAAGTAGTGTTGACCTGGGAATCCCGCCAAGGTCCGATGGTTCAATGATCGGCCAACCGTTGGTCACATATATGGCCCTCTTGGGCGGTTGCAGTACCGGACCTTTCGGGTGCCATGTGCTGAAAGCGCAACATGCCCCCCTAAAACCTGAAGCACCACTTCGCATGACTCGTTCAGGAGCTGTGGTGGATGGGTGTCCAGGTTTGGCAATACTTGGGACATCCTTCTTTGTGGCTTCCCATGCAGCTGATGATATACCAGGGCATGACTCACAGTGGCAGTCTGGTAGTTGCAAGGCTGGGGGGGTCTTCTGTGGTTCACTTGGGAGTTGAGCTCAAGTTGCCGAAACCCTCCTGTTCATCAGGCGGGCAGAGCAGGCCACGGCGTTTCACGCCGGGAGCTACGGAGATTTGGAGCAGTGCAGAAGGGTCCTAACCGTTTCATCGTCGTTCCCAGGGTTTCCGCGCGTGTGGACAAGGGGAAAGGATCGGGCGGCGGATCGCACATGAGCAGGGGATAATTTATTACATGAGCAAACGAGCAAACGGATATGCAGGGTGCCCATGATTCCCAGTTGCAGGTGGATCTTTCCGACCTCTTGCTTAGGCGATCTGAGGGTTATTTTAGGTCAACCGGTATTATCCACCGCTTAGCAAACAGTCAGACCATCCAAGTGGAGCAGGCTTGCCTCTTCCAGAAGGGCGGTGATGTATTCCAACGAACTACAAGGGTACCACCCCTGCTCTTGGGCCTTCACACATGCTCCAATTGATTCTTGGGCTGTGCAACATACCAACCCCGCCCGAAACCCGCCCCTCAACTCCTCACTTACCCAAAAAATCAACCATATGGCTGTGGCTCAAAAATAAACACGAGGGAATGGTTACGCGGGTTTTGGTCCATTTTTCCACTTACCAGGGTTCCATTTTGGAATTCCGGTTTTTTGAGCCACACCCATATGCCCACCTCAGGTTTCTGCTTCTGGTAGGTCAGTCAAGATTCCGAAAGGTCAACGAGTCACAGCTTTTGAACGCAGTGGGTCACAAAAATCAACTCCCTTGGAAACCAAAGGGGCCAAACCGCACAGTCTCGCCTGGATCAATTTGTAAGGGGATAGGGATCAACATTATATATTCGGCATTCTGGAAAGTGGCACTATGTTCAGTGAGCTCACTACGTCCATTGTGACGCTGCGCCAGCAGTCGGTCGACAACAGTGACATTGCTGAGAGGAGGATGGGACCCAGTACCATTCCTTCGAGCGCAGGTACAAATGGCGATGATAGCTATGACAACTCTATCTTCTGGAAGACCATTTTGCTTCCTCTGTGAGAGCCCGTTGTTCTCAATTATCCCTTCCATTTTGTTAACACCCCTGGGAAAAATAATAGTTACAATCAACTATTTAACGTAGTAATAGATTCCCTTCAAAAACAATAGGTGGAAATAACATATTCTTAAGCAAGTTGCCCACAGTGAACTGTCGATTCGTTTGGACGGCGGGCCGACCGTCCGCGTGCATCGACCAACACCCCGCGCCGAGGTTCTCGGACGCGCCCAACGAGGCCTCGGGGGCCTCGGCGCCCGCGGCCCCGCGGGTGGTGGCGCCGCAAGCGCAGGCGCCCGCGGCGGTGCCGCCGCGACTAGGTGCGGGGCTTGGAGCTTGGAGCGGACGGCCGGCGGAGGGGAGTTGGATGGAACAGCTGGCGCCCTGAGCTGGATTTGTTTCGCCACTTTTGGGCTGGACCACCGTACTCTTTCGCAGAAATCCTTTCAGAGGTGGGCTGATGGTGATTTTCCGGAACATTCCGGAACCTCGAAACAATCACCAAGCCAGACACCATGTTGGGGTCCTTTACTTCCATTTGCTGAAATGGATATGTTTTATTTCCCCCTGCTGGTTATAAAGGGAATTGATTTCACTACTGGACATATTTGTTTGTATTTTTTGCAGGGGGTCTTAACCAAATGGAAGTTTTGTTTTTATGTTTTTGGGGGGTTTTGCTCTCCCTGTGAGCAGGGGGCTGGCCAGTTGGCCAGGCTTCGCGACCCCGAGCCAGCCAAGACCACAGCATGTACCAGCGATGCATCACTCCGCGTGGAGCCAGCAGCAGCCGCGCGCCTGGAGCGGAGGTTTCCGGCGGTTTCGGAGGTTTTGGGGCGGAGACATGTGGGCCTCGTTTTATTTCGGGCTTGGCCTTGTGACGGATTCTTTCCGAAAGAAAACTCCGCCGGAAAAAAAGTCCACCCACATGGGGAAACCACGAGAGGGTCCGCTTTAGTATGCCCAGACACTCCGATCAGATCCCATAGGCGCAAGGGTAAGCCAGAAAACGACGACAGTTCGGCACATCCGGCAGTTGCCCCGCACATTGGGACACCATGCGCCCACCAGTTCTTGTTTTATCTCTTCTTTTTTCCCTTTTTTGTTTTGTTTTTTTTTGGGGGGGGAGGGGGGCCTATCATGGGATGCAGAGGGCCTCACTCCATCGCGAAGGGGGCCATGTTTTAGCCGTTTCTAGTTGGCCACGTCCGTTTGGCAGTCCAGAAGGTGGCACTTTCGCTGAGGGCCCCTCGCATCCCTTGCGCTGCGCAAGCGAGTCCCAGATTCGGATCTTTCGGGAGGGCTGCCAGGTGGAAATCTCATTGCGCAATGAGCAGGGGTCAAATTACTTCTTGCTGAGAGGAATGTTGTATACTTTCCCCTGTTGGTTTTTAAAGAGAATCTATCACTACTGGAAATCTGTTGTTTTTTCCACGGGTCTCAAGCAAATGGAGGATTACTCAACACCGAACCGGCCCCCTAAGAAGAACCAAAGGTTGCTAATCCATCAGCGGCTGATGTTCAAAATGAGTCGCAAGAGAAAACGAGGCCGCGCAAGGGCATCGTTTGTGGCGCCTTTTGTGGCCCCGAATTCCCAAGGAAGCCGCAAGGTGGCGACCGCAACGCGAGAGGTCCAAGTGGATTGATTGTCCTGAGGAACTGGCCTGGCTGGGGCGGTCGGAGCCTCAAGCTGGCCACACATATCTTTGAATCTGGCACTTTGGGTGTTAAAGAATGCGGCAGAAGCCCAACAGAAAAAGTTTGGCCCTGAAGGCACTTCTCTTTCCAACCAAAGTGCACAGGAGGCCCCGAAAAGGAAAACGTTTTCTTCCAGATTTTTTTTCCGTCAGCTTCCATGACTGGAAGGGTGCCGAGGTCTCAGGGGGATGCCTGGTACCTGGCAAGTAGTTCTGAAGTAATGGCCCCAAGATGTACAGTCTCACTCCCTGAGTTGATGGACTTTAAGCTTTTTGGCAAGACGAGTTTAGTGGTAAACTCAGTTGTCCAAAGCCGACCTTTTGACCTTTTGGTTTTCCCATTTTGGACCATTTTTAGTAGAGGTGCCAAAAGGTTAACCTTTTAGTTCTGGGTCCTTTGGGCAACTGAGCCAGTCAACTTGGGAAGTGAGTATCAGCTTTCATTCCCCACCACCCCCTAAACATGTATAGGTTAAACGGACACCTCCCGGATGCGGACTTGTCGCCGCAAAGCGCAAAGAGCACGTCAGGTATGAGACCAGAATGAGGCTAAGCCCGGATTGTCCAATCCGCTGGATTCATTGAACAGCGCGCCCCAAAAGTCAAATTTGGGACACCGGCCGAAAATCCGCCAGAGGTTCATTCTTCCCTGTGGTCCCATTATGTTGTTTGTTGAGTTCATTGCTTACATCCACAGGGGATGTTTTCCCCATTCTCAGGTGTTCGGCTGGTTTTCGTTCTTGTTGCTTTTGCTTTTGTCAAGAAGCCCATAGCTGTTGGTTTGGATATATCCGGCTTTGGGGTTTGGGAAGCATTTCGCAGGCTTCCTTCATTTGTTGTGGCTAGGCCGCTTCAAAGTAAGAGCTCAAACTGACTGGTCAACTCAGAGGATAAGGTGATCAGGGTGGAAGAATACCACTAGAGGCTTCAAGCATCGAATATGGACGAAGGTGTCGGATAAATTGGTAAACCCCTCGTAAGTCCAATGTGTAGTAGTCCTTTCCCCGTTTCCGGTCCCGAAACCAGACCCAACCAATCCTGTGGATGGAAAGGCAAAATTTGCTTCTCGCAGCACCGAAATCAGAAACCGGGGTTTTGATGGATCTTTTCCTGCAAATACCAAGCAACGTCGTGGTTTCGCCTTTCCATCCATATTGGTCTGGTGCCTAGGAGGCGACGGCTGGGGATACGAAGGCTACGAGGGATACGGAGGCGCGGGGGGGAAAGAAGGGAAGGCCAACATGCCGGAAGCTATGTGCGGGGAAGCTCGCTGTTTGTCAGCCCATGGCTCGAAAACGGGAAAACGACAACATCAAAAGGCGCCCACGAGCCCCAGGGGTTGATCAGGATTGGGAGCCCCCGAATTGACGACACTAGGTTTGTGATCTTGCTTTGTAGGTTCGGGTCCCGGGTTGGTTCGAAGACTGAGCGCCTATGTGGAAGAGTTGGGCAATTCGGCCTTTTCTCACTCAGCCTCCCCCCAACAAAAAGAAAAGGAAGAAGCAGCACACACACACACACTCACAAATGATGGCTCGGGGGTGTTGAACCCTCAGTCCCCAGGAGTACGCATCAGCCCCGAATCGAACCTCCGTAACAATCTGCCCCTTTCGGGCCGTCCGAAACCCAATCACAGCCAACATTGGCGGCTTGACCCCATGGCTGTCAGTGGGGAAAAGTCACACTTCCTCCAAGCAGCGTGTTCAGATGCCAAGTTGTTCAAGTGGTTATCACCCACTAGCAAGTGGGTGAAGTCCACTTGGGGCTTGTAACTGGGTCATAACCCAAAAACTTACCAACTTCGCTGAGCCGGGCGCAAGGATCCGTCCCCATACACGTACTCCCCGACTTAAAGGGGCATTGTACTTAGTACGTGGGCAGTAACCACGGTTATAACCCACCGAAGCCATGGTTACAAGTCTCCTAAGTGGATGATAACCAGGCTTAACCACTTACTAAGTACCCGATCGCCCCTTTCGGCAACAAGGTGATGCTTATTGCAGGGCGTCCCAAACAAGGCGGACTCAAAATGGCAATCCTAGCGGTTCATGAAGAATTTGATCGGTCAGTTTGGGGTTTTACATCCATTGCATCCGCAGTGTGGCTGTTCAAGCGTAAAAATGTGCGAGCAGCGCACTTGGACGGTTTGTTGTTTCCTTTTGGGCCCCAAACCGGTAACCCTTGAATCTATAGGTTATCAGCCGTAGGCCCCTAGCTCTAAGCAATGGACGGTTCCCTTGTGCCAGTTGATGGATCCAGCATGCCTGTGGATGCTGCCGGAGCTAGCTCCGGCAACGCCACCGGCGGCGGTGTGCGAATGTTCGCATCAAGCGCTAATGCGCAATACAACCGCGCCCTGATGAATTCCCTTCAACTGTACAATACCGCAATCTTTGCTTTTGGGAATGATGCAGCCATTAGGTCTGAAGCCGAAGCCCTGCATCAAGCAGCTGTTACGCATTTGCAAGCGGAAAGCCGTGAGGAGCTCCGTGCCGCACAGAATCAGCTGCATGCACACTACGCTGAATGTGTGCAAGCCCAGTCGCATAGGATTCGTGAATACGAACAGCGAGTGAGCGATGAGTTCATTCAAGAAGTGAACTTCGCTGAAGCTAGGATAAGCCAAGTGTGTGAGGAAAATGCCCAAGCATTGCATGAAGCGGAAATGGGACGCAAAACAACTGAGTTTAGGCAAGCCATTGAATCCACCCTGGCGGAAGCCCAGCAGCTCCTTCATGAGCAAGCTGCCAAGCACGCCGATGACACAGCCCGTGTTGAGGCGACACACGCCAGACGGTTGACATGATGGCCCACCAAAACGGGCTTCTGCAGGACGAGCTCGATGAGCTGAAGAAGTATCAGAAGCAACACGACCTCCGCGAGGATGGATCGAAGCCCAAAGGGGTAGGTGATACCCGAGAGGATTCACCAGAGTTGATGACCGATGACATGAAGTCAGCTCGGTCCCAAAGGTCAATGTTGGACCCGCTTACCCATCCGTTTCAATATGCAAAGGAAAAGTTGAGGTCGCTTGTTACCTATGACGGTTACGGGGATGAATATACCCCTAGCGTGATTCCAACTGCCGAATGCGAAGCACTGCCCGCAGATGCTCGCGATCCGCAAGGACCAGCTGAAAAGCCATCAGGTAGCAGCCGATCCCCGGTGAAAACAAGTGCACCGGTCCCGCCCCTGCAATTCTCTCAGGGGCCAATGTCAACTGACCGCAAGCAGGGTGGTAAGCCTCCTGGCGGTCCGCCACCTGATGATGATGGCGATGGCGATGGCGATGAAGACGAAGGTGATGGCCTCGGGCCTAACCTCGGCAATGAAGCATTCGCCAAGATGTTGATGAAGTTAGTAAGAGGCCAAACGAACGATGAAAAGCCCAGAACCCGCGAAAGCGAGACGTTGCGGTTCAAGGAGATGCCAACTCCTGAAACGTACCGTGAATGGAAAACATCGGTTCGTGAGGATGTCCGCGCCGCATCTGACCGTCCAGACGAGGCTTGGCCTTGGATCATGGAAGTCTGGTCCGATCGCGAGGACAAGAAGAAGCTGTTGGAGGAGCTCGGCGAACCGGGAAAATTCGTGACCCTAGACACGAAGATTCTCGCAGCGCTCACGCGTTCAGCGAAAGGCGATCTGGCTCAGCGAATCCTAACAGCAAAGGAAGAATGTGCCAAGGAGGGAAAGGCCATGAGAGGAAGGCAGGTCTTGTTTATGTTTGACCAATATTTCAAGACCAGTGAAGAAGCCGGAAACCTCTACTCCTTGGAGGACCTGTTGCGTGTCTCGCGACACGGCGAAGGAATCATTGATCTCAAGCGTTTCCTGAACGCTTGGGATTCCGTGATCGCCGGCATGAAAAGGCCGCCGGAAGAAAAGGTGTTGAAAGACATCTTGCTTCGCCAAGTGAGAAGCTGCCATCTGTTGCGGTACGACATTGACACATATGATCGTTGCCGTGATGATGATCCCAACAAATCGTACGATTTCCTAATGCGTTGCATGAGGGATCTAATCGAGAGGGATAGGCTTCGCGAGAACCGAGAGCGCGTGTCCAAGGTCAATGCCAGTAAAGCCCCGACGCCCAAGGCTGGTGCTGCCGCCCCTGAAAAGAGGGACCCCAAGAAAAAGAGCGCACCTAAGCCGAAGGACACCGAGGAGAAGTACTGTTTTGACTTCCAGAAGGGCTCGTGCACGAGGGGGGCAAACTGCCCTTACGCGCACCGCAAGGAGCCGCGAGGACGCTCCGCGACCCGCGGCAGGCCAAGTTCCCCCAAAGGCGGTAAAGGAGAGAAAGCACCGTGTTCTTTCTTTGCCCAAGGGAAGTGCACTAGAGGTGACAAATGCAAGTTTAGCCATGCCTCCACGGGCGGCAAATCTGCCGCCGCGGCATCGAGCAGCGAGGCCAATGCAAATCCTGCGGCTAAGAAGCGTGCAAATTCACCTAAGCCTAAGCCCAAGGCCAAAGCCGCTGCAGTCTGCACCAGGTACGCCATGTTCGCAAAGCCGATCGATCCAATCGGAGTGTCATTCGACACCAATGCTCATGTGCATGAGATCCCCGCCGAAGGCGATGGTTTTAAGCTTGAGTATGAGGAACGGCAGTACAATAGGATGTTTCCAAGTGCTAAGGACTGCCCCAGGCCGACCAAAGGGACTAACAAGGCAGCGCGCAAGGCCGCGAACCAATTGAATGCCGTAGTCAAAGCCATGGAGAATGGAGCCCAGCCCGCTTGCGGTTTCATGTGCGATGTGGAATCCGATTCCATCTCAAGCCTATCGTGTGATGAGTGCCTGAGAGTTGCCATGCCGCCTCACGATGTTCGCAAGGATGTCGAAGCGCCAAGGGCAGCCACCCCTGCCCCAAAGGGAAAGGATGTGTGGCTCATTGATTCCGGTAGTGAGCAGGACCTCATCAGCAAAGCTGCACTGAGGAATACGTCCAAGGCAATTCGAAAACAGGCCCCTCAGCCCATTCGCCTTGTGACTGCAAACGGAAACATCACTGCTTCCGAAATCGCCGACATCAATGTCGATGCATTGTGTGAGCCTGCTCAGCCTTACATCCTCGAGAGTTCTCCCGCAGTGCTGTCGCTGGGTGTGAAGTGTCTGGATCAAGGATATTCCTTCCATTGGGAATCCGGGAAGGCGCCAACCATGGTTCGCCCTGATGGTGCTCTGATCCAGCTCAAGGTTGACGGTCATGTGCCATATATGGATTCTAGCTGTGAAGCTGAGCCATCGTTGAGTGCAGTAGCAGCATCCAAGCCAGCGCCTGCGCCGGTTCATGACGAAGGCATCGACGAAGGTGATGATCCCGACGATGAAGTTGAGCGGTTCGTGAGATCCCGCAAAGAGCAAGATCTGGTTGCCGAAGCAGGTACCAAAGAGCACTTGTTTGCACACTATCCGAAGAATCCCTTTTGCCGCACTTGCCAACGTGCCAAGATGCTTGCCCCATATGCAAGATCGAAAGGCGGGCAGGGAAGGCTCGAGACGAAAGCGTTTGGAGATCACATCATTGCCGATCATGTGATTCTCAAGGCCAACATCGAGCAAGGCATCAAAGGTGAATGGTGTGCTCTTGTGATCAAGGACGTGCACACGCAGTTCAGGTACGTTTACCCGTCGACCAGCAAAAGCACGGAGCAATCCGTTGCAGGGATCCAGCATTTCATTTCCGGTAGGGATGAGGTTGAGGTTCTCTACACTGATAACTCCCGGGAATTGAAAGCTGCAATAGAGCAGTTGGGGTACCGTCATCAGACCTCCATTGAATATGTTGATTCTTCCAAATCTTTCGTGGAAAGGGAAATCAGACATCTGTTGGAGGGAGCACGTGCGAACCTTGTTCAGTCAGGGTTCCCACTGTCGATGTGGCCATTTGCTATCCAGCACAATGCAGTTGCGACCAACATCCTGCCACAGTTGAATGGAAACGATTCGCCATGGTACCTCAGGTTGAACAAAACCTTTGATGAAGCTGAGATACCTTTCGGAGCAAAGGTACTGTTCTGGAACAACCCTGCACGAGCTGACAATCAGGCAGGCAAGACTTCGCCAACATCGAATGAAGGCGTGTTTCTCGGGTACCATATTCAGCCTGGGTTCGCATGGAAGGGTGAGTTCCTCGTTGCAAAACTAGAAGGGCTCGATTACCATATCGAACATGCGTCCCTCACGGTACAGCGAACAAAGCGCAT